ATACCAGGGATCGAACTCGGAACCGTGCGTTTGTGAGACAGGCGGTGGAACCACTGAGCTAAATCCCCGGCCCCTGGATTTTTGTGTCTGTGTAGTATCTTGGCCTGGTTTTGGTACCAGTGTAATGCTGGCTTGAGAAGTGTTGCTTTGTCTTCAAATTTTTGTAAGAGTTTGTGTAGAACTGATGTGTTTTCCTTCAGTATTTGGTAGAATTCACCTTTGAACTGTGCTATTAGTTGTATAATTTATAGGTCTACTTTGTTCTATTTGTCTACTTTGTTCTGTTGATGCATTTACCAAAAGAAATCGATAGTTCTCTCTGTGAATATTTTTTGTACCAAAATCTACTTTGTTACATAATATGATGTAGACCTTTCAGGTTTTTTGTTTGTTAGCATGGCATATATTTTTCCATCTTTTTACCTTTAACCTATATCCATGGTTATATTTAAATTGACAACATATAATATTCATGGTTATATTTAAATTGACAACATATAATTAGGACTTGGCTGTTTTAAAATCCAGTCTGGCCATCTCTGTCTTTTAATTGATGTGTTTAGGTCACTTATACAGCATATTATGATTGTTAATAGCTGTCTTATCAGAGCTTGTTTTCAAGTGAGTCACCATTTCCTGTATGTGTAAGAACCTTGTAATAGTATTACGTTTCTGTACTCCTGTCCTTTATGCTAGTGTTGTCATACATTTTGCTTAAACATATGTTGTAAATCACATATTCTGTTATTATTTTTAAATAGTCAATTTTTATCTTTAAAGGATATTTAAATAATGAGATGGAAGTAGTTACCATTTCTGGCTCTATGTTCCTTTGAGTGGATCCACATTTTGTTCTGGTATCCTTTTGCTTCTGCCTGAAAGGCTTCTTTCATATTTCTTGCAGGGCAGGTTTGCTGCTGATGTATTCCTTCAATTTTTACATGCCTGAAAAAGTCTCTTTTTCACCTTGTTTCTGAAAGACATTTTTAATGAATATAGAATTCTTGTGTTTTTTTCTTAGCATTTTAAAGTTTCTGCTCCATTATCTTCTCATTTGCATTATTTCCAACAAAAACATCTGACATCATACCTTGTCACATTTACTGCTTCTTTTTTTCTCTGGATGTTTTAAAGACATTTCTCTTTATCACAGGCTTCAGTAATTTTTGTGTGGTGTATCCTTTTCTTCATATGTGTTGTGCATGGAGTTCATTGAACTTCTTGGATCTGTTTTAGTTTCACCAATTTTGGAAAATTTGGGGGAATAATTCTTCCAATATTTTTTTGGCTATTTCCTCTCTCCTTTCAGAATCAATCACATGTTTACTAGGATCCTTAAAGTTGTCACAGAACTCACGGATACTATGTTAATTTTTTTTGTTTGATTTTTGGTATCAGGGATTGAATTTGGGTCCTTGTGCTTGGGAGAGGCATGCGGCAGCGGAACCACTCAGCTAAATCCCCGGCCCTACTTTTTTTTTTTTTTTTGGAGACAGGTTGTGTTTTTTTTGGTACTGGGGATGGAACTCAGGACCTTGTGGTTACGAGGCAGGCAGCAGAACCACTGAGCTAAATCCCCGGCCCATGGAGACAGGTTTTTACTATGCAGTTCAGACTGGCCTTGAACTCACTGTGTAGCTCAGGCTGACCTCAAACTCAGCAATCCTCCTGGCTCAGTCTCCCAAGTGCTAGAATTACAGGCATGTGCTACCATGCCAGGCTTTTATGTTCATTTTTTAAAAAATTATTTTTTTCTCATTTTGTATAGTTTCTTTTGCAGTTTATAAAGTTCGATGATCTTTTTTCTCAATGCCTTAATTTGTCATTAATATCAACATTTGTATTTTTCATCTTGAACATTGTAATTTTTGTTCCTAAATGTTTGACCTTCCTTTTTTTTCTTTTCTCTTCTTTTTTTTTGGACAGTGTTTCACTGTGCAGTCCAGGCTGGCCTTGAACTATTTTTTTTTTGGTACCGGGGATCGAACTCGGGTCCTTGCACTTGTGGGGCAGACAACAACACCACTGAGCTAAATCCCCAGCCCTGGCCTTGAACTTGTGGCTATCCTCATGCTGCGTTGGCCTCCCAAGTGCTGGGATTATAGGCATGTGCCACTATGCCTGGCTGATTTTTTGTCTTTTATATTGCCTTTCATTCTCTTATCTTTTTTTTTTTTTTGGTACTGGGGATCGAACTCGGGTCCTTGCGCTTGTGCAGCAGGCTGTGAAACCACTGAGCTAAATCCCCAGCCCTCTCTTATCATATGGAATATAATTACAACTGTTTTAAGTGTTCTCTGCAAACTTAATTTCTGTGTCAGTTCTCAGTCCATTTCAGTGAATTTTCTTCTTTTCCATTTCCTTCTAATTTCTGAATATATGCCAGACATTGTAAATTTTACCTTCTTTGGGTGTTGGCTATTTTTGTATTCTTGTAAATACCCATAAGCTTTGTTGTTGTACCACTGTGAAATTAGTTGGAAACAGTTTGGTCCTTAGGAGTCTTTTCAGATGTTAGGCAGGACTGGAGTGGTGTTTAGTCTGTTCCTCGGTGTTCTCTTGCAGTGTGCCCTGAATTAGGTGATTTTCTAGCCTGGCTGGGGCACCAGTGCCTGGAGTTGGGCATCAGGTGCTATGTTCTCCTGACCTTCGTGTGCCCTAGTTAGCTCCCTCCACGCACATGCCCGTTCTTACCCTTTGAGTCCTTGAGGGCAAACTTCTGCAGTCTCCGATGTCCTCTCCCTGCAGCCCCCTCTAGTTTCCCCGCCATCGCTTCAGATCTCACCATCTGGGTTGAGCTTCACTGAGTGGTAACCACCTTGGCCACTGTTTCATGTGAACCAGAAATGAATGTATTGCTTAATGGATGATCTGGCTGGGACTCTGAGATCCAAACGTTTGTGAAGTGATTTACGGAAAACGTTTTAATTTTAAGAGTCAACTGGAAAATATCATCTGATGAAAGTTACAGAAAATTTTAGCTTTAACTACCTTTTATAATTTAGGAAAGATAGTATAGTGAAAAAGAGTTTTGAAAGTAACAAAATACTTATTGGTGACACATTAATCTAGTGATTTAGTCCCATAGCAGATAGAAAATTGTTTTCTTTTGGGGGGCGGGGTACCGGGGATCAAACTCGGATCCTTGCGCTTGTGAGCCAGGTGGCAGAACCATGAAAATTTTTTTCTTTATATTTAGTGTATATAAATTTTATTCTGTACTTCTAAATAAAATACATGAAGCTCATTCTTACATCTTTGGGGGAAGAGTGTTTATCTTTCTGACTCGGTGCTCTTGCTAGTAGTACATATTAATTCTCAAGTCCTTTTTAGTGGTCTTATCTGTTGAAATCCATCAAGAGCTGACAAGCTTCACCTGCCACTGCAGTGGTTTTCATTTTCTAGTGGTGTGTTAATCAGAATTCTGACATAAAAAATACTATGATTGAATAAACCCATTGTTGAGTTAGTTTGGCCTTTTTTCCCCACAGTACTGGACATTAAACTCAGGTCTCTAATTTTTTAAATTTTATTTTGAAATAAAGTCTTGTAAAGTCACAAGTTTTCCAGGCTGGGCTCAAACTTGGTAAGCTTCTGCCTCAACCTCTCATAGTCTTGGAATTACAGGCTTAGTTTGATATACTGAAATTACATTAATTCAAAGAGAAATGCCGTGTAAGTGTCATGTATCACAGGTAATCAGAAATTCAACATAAATATACGGTATACAAGAAGAAAAGCTGCAGTAAGTATAACTGCCTAGGCTGGCATGGCTATAAACCAAATTTGTGCCTTGTCCTAATTTTTGTGAAGTGATGACAAGTTCTAAAGCTTCTTACTATATGATAATTACTTGGGTAAAAAAATTTAAAGAAGTAATGTTTTTTTAACCACTGTTTCAGTGAAATTGCTATCCAAATGCTTATTTCTCTTACACAATATAAACTAGTGCTTTGTTACTAAATTCTTCTGGTGTTAACTATAAACACAGTATTACTCCGGTAGTCCTGTGAGATAGCAGAATAACCCAGTATAATTGAGCATAGAGCATCAACTTCTCAGTTTTCTTTTAAAATATTATTACACATTTTAGAGTTACAGCATCATTTAGTTTATTTTTTGTGGTCCTGGGGATTGAACCCAGGGACTCACACAAGAGCCCAATCATTGAGCTACATGCCCAACCCTCACTTCATTGAAAATGTCAAAGATTCTAGAGGAAAAAGGAACAGTGTCCTAAGATAAATTATTTTTTTCTCTTTTTGGAAACGGTCTTGCTGTGTAGTCCAGACTGGCCTTGAACTCACTATGTAATTAACTCAGGCTGGCCTCAAACTCGTGACAGTCTTCCTGCCTCAGCCTCCCGGGTGCTGGGGTTACAGGCATGCACCACCATGCCTGGTTGACACCAAAGATATTTTAATAAAGAGGAACTGTTTACTTTTTTCAAAAGATCAGTAATTGAATTTCTGTCTATATATAACACATACCTTTTCCTTACTCTCATTTTGTAGGTTCTGCCGGAGCCTTGCAGTTGGCCTCAATGTGAAATGAAAGTAGAAGATTCCATCTGCATATGCGTTGTTGTCAGGGTGCTGATACATTGGTCATGCCTGAAGAGGCAAGTTCTATTCTAGACAGCTGAGTGCAGCACAGTAAATGCTCCTCCTCCATGTGCAGCGCCTTTGCCTCCTGCTGGAGTGAAGACCCCCACCAGACACCACCGGGACCTCAGCTGTGGGAAATGCTCTGCCTGCCAAGGATGTCAGCAACCTAACTTCATGCACCCATCCGTGCCGACACTGTGGATGCTTTGCCATCTGAGAGCTCCTCACGTCTTGTCCAGGGCCCGCATCTGCTTCTGACATGTCTCTGCTTCATGCTTTGGGCCCAGTGCAGACCTGGCTGGGGCAAGAGCTGGAGAAATGTGGCATCGATGCCATGATTTATACGCGCTATGTCCTCAGCCTTCTGCTGCATGACAGCTATGACTACGACCTGCAGGAACAGGTATTTAGGTGTTTTGAGTGTTTTGTGAAAATTGATGATTTTGTTTATCTGTCCTTTTTTGTTTTTGTAGTCTAGACTGGCCTCAAACTTGCAGCAGTCCTGCCTCAGCTTCCTGAGTGCTGGAATTACAGGTGTGGGGCATCATGCCCCACTCTGTGCATTAATGATTTCACGCTCCCGAACAGGGCTGGTATGTCAGTGACACAACAGTAAGATTATATTAAAATGTAAACTGACTGTGTCACCCAGCACACTATGTGGTTCAGCTGCTTGGCCCTTGGGCATTCTCCATGTTGCTTGGGACCTGCCGCCTGCGAGCAGCCCTGCTCTGAGAGTTGGTTTCTGTTCTTTGGGAAAATCACATGTTGCACTATGTATTAAATAATCTTGCCTCTTATTTCTTACCGTTCCAAAGTTTTCATCTGCAAGAGTGACATTAGGCTGCTTGTTATCTCAGTGTATATGACAAACGAGCAGACCTACCGATCTGTAATGCTCTTAGCTTTGGCACCAGTAAGTCAGGCATTGCATTTTTTTTTTTTTTTTGGTACCAGGGATCAAACTCTGGTCCTTGTGCTTGTGAGGCAGGTGGCAGAACCACTGAGCTAAATCCCTGGCCCTGCACTTTTTTTTTTTTTGGTGCCAGGGATCGAACTCGGGACCTTGCACTTGCAAGGCAAGTGGCAGAACCACTGAGCTAAATCCCCAGCCTCCCCGCACTTTTTTTTAATGTGATGAGAAATGAAACAAAAACAAATCTAGGTTCTTAGTAAAGATTAAACTGCCTCATTTTCTGAGAGGAGCTACTTGACGTGCGGCTGCTGGAGAGAACAGAGTTATTGACAGTGCACAGATGGGCTCTGAGTGACCTCTGCATACAAATCTCACATCACAGTTGCTGGTTTTCTAAAGCCCTTAGTGGAAAGAAGGGGATGTTTTGCGGGCAGTTAGATGTTGTTTTAAACCCTTGTTACTGACAGTGAGAGCAGGAACGAAGTTTCATTGACAGAGGAAACTTGCTTTGCTCTTCCAAACCACAGAAAAGCCTCAGTCCTAGAACTAACACACGGAGGCTCTCACCACGCTGCATAGCCACTGTGGAATACTCTGTGCAGAGCGCTGTTTCTCGTGCTGCTGTCTGTCCATTTCTGGATGGACGCATCTGTGTTTCCCCTGCTTGTCGTTGCTGCCCGCTGTGGCTGGTGAGGTTTAGGTGAAGGGAATTTTTGAGGTTGATTCACAACCCAGGCAATCTGTTGTTTGGGGTCAGTATTTGATAATTTTCTTGTTGAAGTTTATTATTTGCCATCATTTTTCTAGTAAATGTAAAAAAGGTTTTAGGGGCAAGGAAAATGTTAAATCTACAGACATGGAAGAACTTATATTTCCAGACAGGAGGAGGATAGCTCTCCTAATACAAGAATCATGTGCTTCATAAGGAGGTACTCATACATAGGGGTGGATCTTATTTTCATAGAACTTTAATATAACTTCTTGTTTCTTAGCTATATGTCAGCAGTGTCAGTCCAGTTTTCCTTTCTTTGAGTTTCGTGAGACAGGATCTCACTATGTAGTTCAGGCTGGTTTTGGACTCACTACATAGCAGTACAGGCTGGCCTCAAACTTGGCAGTCATCCTCCTGCCTCAGCCTCCCACATGCTGGGATTATTGGTGTGCACCACCATGCCTGGCTTAGAATATTTAATCAGCAGTAAATTTACTAGGCCAGAGAGTGTATGTGCTTGTACTGTAGGGTGGGTAGGATAAAACACAGGCCCACTCATCCTAGGATGGTAGCAGGCCCATCTCTCATGACACTTGGTGGTGATTGTGAATGCTGCGGTTCCTCTGTCAGCTGTAGCAGGCCGGGGTCAGGGGACACGGACACATCAGTGTCTTCACCCAGGTTCAGTCTTCCCTCCAGAGTTTTCCCGTTCATTGTTCAGGACATGGCGGATAAAGGTTGAAACATAGGAAGTCTGGAATTACAAGGAGGCCCACAGGGAAGTAAAAGGCCCTGAATTACTTTTCCACTCAGCCCAGGTGGAAGAGCAGACCATGACCTGGGCTGATAAGGAAGACGAAACTGCAAACGATACCTGTGTTACGAGGGTACCTGTGACTGGTGGGTTGGTCAGGTAAGCCCTGCCTGCTTTTCCCTGCAGCTGCAGTCCCTTTTGAGGGTGGATGATCTGTACAGAGCAGCTGTGCAACTCGGGAGGATATGCCCACTGCTCCCAGGAAGGAAGCTGGTGTGGAAGGGCCTCTGCTCAGCGTTCATAACCCACTTCTCACCTAGCCAGTGAGCAGACCTGCTCCTTCCTGACCTGGCTCATCCAGCTCACCCCAGCTCAGCCCCTCGGGTGGGGCTCAAGCTGCTGCACCCTGGCTGTGGGTTCCTTCTCCTTACCCTGGATCCTGAGTCAGCCTCACCTTGGAATGAAGATGGCCAGTTTCAAGGTCATTGCCCCAGGTTCTTGCTGTACCTGCCATATGTAGACCATCACCTCTCCCAGTCTGTCTAGAACAAACATCTTGTGAGCACTGTAGCAGGTTTGGTGTGTGAATTTGATGTTGGCAGTGCAGGATGGGTGGGGAGGAAGTAGAGCCGATCAGACCTTGCTCTGGGTCGAGACTGAAGAACTGGGCTGAGTTGCACAGCCACCTCTGGTGTGTGGCGTCCGCTTGTCACTGGTAGTCCTGGATACCAGCTACCTTCTGCTATGCATGTGCCATGTGTGTCAGTAGTTTCATCCACAGGTTTTCCTTCTGCTTTTGGTCCTGATTCGGAATTCACTGGTATCGTTTATAGACTATATAAACTTTTCTTCCCTATCCTTTGGAGCTCATGTCGCTCCTCTGATGCTTTTTCTGACCCTGCCTGATGGAAGCAGTGTCTTCTGCCACCATTGATCCTGTTTCTCCCGTGGAGCTCTTCACTGTGGTGGCTGGAATGCACTCTTTCTCAGTGAAGTAGAATGTTCTTAGGGGCAGAAGTCATATTCATCCTTTTAAAAAAAAGCAATCCTGGGCTGGGGATTTAGCTCAGTGGTTCCGCCACCTGCCTCATAAGCGCAAGGACCCGAGCTCGATCCCCAGTACCAAAAGAACAAAAATTTAAAAAGCAGTCCTCAGAGGGCTGGGGATTTAGCTCAGTGGTGCTGTGCCCACCTCAAAAGTGTAAGGTCCTGAGTTCAATCCCCAGTACTGGGGGAAATAAAAAACAATCCTCTGATTGAATTGTGTCTTCTAGCTATGAGTGCATCAATCTAGAAATGGAGCTGGATCAATGTGTACTTGTCCACAGGTCATACATATTAGAGCCATCCCAGTACTGATTGCTAAGTGAAAGCCCTCTCTTCTGCATCCAGCGGAGCTCCTGTGCTCTTTCAGCCCATCTGTAGCATATGCTCGCAGTACTGAATATCTTGTGAGTTTAGTTTTCACTCCTTGGAAGAACCACCATCTGCATTGTTTCACTGTACAGTTTATTCTGATCCTACAAGAGGGCAAAAATCAGACGCATCCTGGTTCCTCACGTGTCTGCCCTGAACATACAGATGGTTTAGCCTAACAGTTTTCTGCTTTATGATGGTGTGCGCGCAGCACACGTTCAGGAGAAACCAGAGTTCCCGTCTTAAATTCTGCAAGTCTTTGGGGCTGGTGATGTGTGGTGTGCTGCTGTCCCGCGGTGCTGGGCAGTGGCAGTGAGCCACAGCTCCCAGGCAGAAACTGATGACCCTGTCATGAGGCCTCCTTGTTGTCCCACAGTTAATATCAGCTCAAGGCTCCCCACTTTTTCAGGCCCAGCGTGTTCTCACTGTGGACAGAGCAGCGAGCACCCACACCGCCCTTTTGCTGCTCACTGAAGTAGGTTCAGTAGGCCACACTGGTGTCCCGACTGATTGTGAAATGCTTTTGTGTTGGATGGCTTTGCCCAACTGCCTTCCATAGGAGTTGTGAGCACATTGAGAGCAGGCTAAGCCAAGCCAAGGTGCTTTGTCGGTCAGGTGTATTAAGCACATTTTGACTTATGGGTTGGGTTTATCAAGACTCAACTCCAGCATGAGTTAAGGAATGTCTGCTGACTTCAGCAAGTTTTCACTGAACAGACACTAGTCAAATGCGTACTTCCTACACAAAAAGCCTTGGTGTTTGAATTCAGATGTCGCTTCTGCCTTCAGTTATTACTGGGTTAAATGTACCAAGTTGGCTTCATATTTGTAAGTTAGTATTTCAGAGCTCAAGGAAAGAAGGAGAAGTGTCTTCCTAGAACCTTCTTTAGCCCAAAACCTTCCCGAGATTTGTCCTTGCTAACAATGGAAGAAGGTGCACGTGCCAGTGTTCACAACACCAACTCCCGAGAGAAGGACAGGAGCCGTCAGGAGAGTGGGCACAGAGCACATGTCTGTCATTGCATTGTTGGTGAAGAATGAAGCTGGAGGATAGGAGAGCTCATAGGATATAAAACCTGTACTGCCATCAAGTTTTGCTTTTTCTTTTTAATAGCTCCTGATGTTTGTCCCAAATGACTGTCCAACCTGCAGCTTCTTGTTCTCCACCTCTGAGACACCTCCCTGACTGCCAGTGTCACACAGGGAAGAACGTGGGTGTGGAGTCTGAGTATCTGGGTTCTGACCCTACCTGCGTCACTGTCTAACTTGGACGAGTCAGCGCCTCTGTGCCTGTCTGTTCGGTTCTAGGATGTTTATACGCCGCATGTGCAGGCCTGGCGTTATTGAGGATTAGAGATTGGATTCCTTGACTGTGTAGTTGAGAGAAGTCATAGGTGCCAGGCATTGCTAGGTACTAATAATACAGCTGGAGCCGGGTGTGGTGATGCACTCCTGTAATCCTAGGACTCAGGAGGCTGAGGCAGGAGGATCACTGCAAGTTCGAGGCCAGCCTGAGCTACATAGCAAGACCTTGTCTCAACCAAAAAATCTAAAAACATTTGGAGTGATACCAGACCCAGAGTAATATTGGTGACCCCTGTTGTTGTAATTGCCACTCGTCCAAACCTCTCTGCCTCAAACAGCCATTTCCCCTGTTAGCTACCCCTCCTGTAGCAGGTGGACAGATACATTTATTAGAGGCAGGTGTAGCTGCTGATATATTTCCAGCATTTCCCAGAACAATCGCAGTTTGAAGTAGTTGGCCTTGCCATATATCCTAATTGTGAATCCAGCACCATGGTCTCTGTGACATTTCTGGGTTTAAGCACTACCGGACAGTCTCTTTTACAGGCGTTTTTCTAGACTTAAGGACCAACAGATTACCATGACAGTTGCTATTATTTCCTTGTGACATGGTGACCAGGTTAGACAGCAATAAATTTTAGGAAGCTAAAGTAAAATCTTTTGATGGTATACATAGATAGGAAGAACCTGCATTTGTTCACAGAAAGGTATAACAAGAGGGTGAGGGGATGTTCTCTTGGGTTTAAAAGAGATGTTTAGTATGAAAGAAAAGTATATGGCTTTAAGAATAATCCAAAAACAACTCAGACTTTACTGGAAGAATCAGGACCTCTCACTTTCTGTGCTGCTTTTGTTTTGTTAATGGGGATTGAACCCCCAGGGCCTTTACTCTGAGCTACATCCCCAGTCCTTTTTTTTGTTTTTTTGTTTTTTGTATGTTGAGACTAGGTCTTGGCAACTTGCTGCCCAGGCTGTGTTCAAAACTCCCAGTCCTCCTGCCTCAGCCTCCCAGAGTGTTGGGATTACAAACACAAGCCACCACACCTGGCTCTGTGTTGTTTTTGAGAGAGTTACAGAGCAATGAATGCCTTTCAGACACAAGGAAAATTACCTCCAACCTCAAACATCTCACAGAAGCCATTAAGTATAAAAAGAATAACAGAAACAGCTTTTGGTCGGTAAGGCTTCTAACACTACTGTAGGTCGGAGTTTAACCTGATAGGAATGTTATTTAATTATTTGTTTATTTGTAGTACTGAGGATCATATTCAGGGGCATTTTACCCTGAGCTATATCTCCAGCCCTTTTAATTTTTTTCTTTTTTCTTTTTTTTGAGGCAGGGTCTCCCTTTGTAGCTCAGCCTGGCCCTGAACTCACTATGTAGCCCAGCTGGCCTTGAACTCAGAAGCCCTCCTGCCTCAGCCTCCTGAGTGCTGGGATTACAGGCGTGCACCACCATGCCTGTCTCCTCTTTTTAAAATTTTGAGACAAGGTCTTGCTTAGGTAGCCAGGTGTCATCAAACTTGTAGTCCTCCTGTCTCAAGTTCCCAAGTAGCTGGGTTGGGTGTGTTTTACTATACCTGACTTATTCTTCAAGCCATATTTTATGTTGTGTACACTCTGATGCATGGACTAAATTCCATATTTGAAAAAAATCTAGTTAGATATATTCAGATTGTTAACAATAGTTAACCCCCGCAGATTGAAATTACAGTGGAACTTTTTTCCTTTTGGGGCTAATTTTTAACTTCCACATATTTGCATTCCTTGAATTAATACTTTATAATTAAATTAACCAATAAATTTATACATTACAAGTTCTTTTAGTCCATTTCAGAATTGTTTTACAGGTTGCTTACAGCTAAAGCATAGTTTTTTGTTTTTTGTTTTTTTGTTTTGTACTGGGGATCGAACTCGGGTCCTTGCGCTTAAAGCATAGTTTTTGGCTTCTTTTTTTGAGGGGGTACCAGGGATCGAACTCCGGTCCTTGCGCTTGCAAAGCAGGCAGTGGATTAAAGCATAGTTTTAATAATTCATGAGCTGTCCCGGGGATTTAGCTCAGTGGTTCCACCGTCTGCCTCGCAAGCACAAGGTCCTGAGTTCGATCTCTGGTTCCAAAAAAAAAAAAATAGTTCATGAGTTGATAAATCTGAAAGGAAGCTGGAGACTTCTCCCCCCAAAGTCTTGGAATGATCTTCAATGATATGATTAGCTTTGGTTTTCACATGAGCACTGATTAAAAACAGTTGCCATTAGATTTATACTATTGTGAAGAAGTACTTGTATTAGAAAATGTATCAGCTTTATGTCTAAGGAATATGAAAACAGTGTCAGAAGTTAATACTGATGGGTAGACAAACTCATATCAACATAATTCCCAAGATACTTAAATTTTTTTGTGTAAAATATTTTTGTGGAATAAAGATGTTTTGAATATA